AGATGAATCTGTGCCCGTGACAGGGGGCAGCAGGCCCGTAGGCCCCCTGGTCCCAAAATGGGAAGGGAAAAGGGAAAGGGTAGGGAGATGGGAGCTGGGCTCAAAACAGAACAGCGGCAACGATCTAAGGAGGAAAACGTAATTTTACTAAATATGATATCGGAATGCAAGATAACAAAATGTAATACAATATAATAGAAATTGAGGCTAATAAATTAAATAAAATAAGGGAGAGAGAATTTCCGAAACCGAAAAGCCTACTTTGATCTGAAGGCACACGGCTGGGGAGCACACCCACACACTGCCAGGCAGTGAGTAAGAGAGAACCAGAGAGATCCCATGTCTTTCTCCTGTGGCTTGTCTTCTTCTCTGAACGTGAAGTCCGTGGGATATGTAGTTGTTGTTCTCTTCTGAGAACCAGGTCTCTGGAAAGGTGTCAGTCCACATAATTGGAGTATTAACTCTTTAATTACCCATGCTTTGCATGATGTTATGATGTGGAATATTGATAACAAAATTATAAAACCATGACATTCCACCCCTTATTCTACATCACTACATCGTGCTTAATATATACATATATATACAAACAAACAATAATTAAAATGCAGGGGTTGGCCTCGGGCCCTTCCTGAGGCTCTTTGCCACAAACTCCAAGTGGCACCTTTCTCCCCAGCAGCAGCGTAAAGGATGTTCTTTACATCCTGTCCTGTGTGTACTGGCCCTAGGGCCACGGCTCGGGCTATCTCCTGTTTTACTTGCTTGCTGCTGCTTAGGGCCCCACGTAAAATTATACTTCTTCCACATCACTTGATAAAAGGGGCTTACAATGAGGCTGTAGTTTTGAATGTGCATTTTCCAAAAGCCCACTACGCCCAGAAAAGACTGTTTCTCTCTTCCTAGTGGGTGGAGACATAGCAGTGATTTTGTCAATCACATCTGCTGGAAAGTGATGATGCCCATCTTGCCACTTTATACCTAGGAACTGAATCTCCTGGGCAGGTAGATCCTTGCAGTTTGCTTCACTTAATAGCAAAACCAGCTTGCAGAAGAATTTGAATTATTTGCTCTCCTTAGATCTATGTAAGCCGCACCATCCCTGACTCAAATACTGGCTTAGTTTCTTGGGATCCAACAGGTGTTCAAGAGTGAAATCCCATGACATTGCGCGTCCCCATGCTTCTAAGATTCTTCCTAAACCTCTCCATATTCCCTGCCAGTCAGCATTCTCTGGTTTTGGAGGAGGCTCCTTCCACATAACACAAATGGATAGGAATACATTCAGGGAGATTAACAACATGCACAGGGGCATGCCCACTAAAATGAGCATTAATTCAGCATTCGAAAAATGTGTGACAAACTGAGAAGAAAGCCTGGAAACCGGTCTGAATATAGTGTTGTTTGTAAAATTAGCTATTCCATTTGGGATGTATCAAAATTCAAATCATACCACATTGCATATAAGTACTATGCAGGTATCTCCATCAGTGCCCTTATTTGTTTATATATGAACACAATTCCACAACACGAAATCATGACATTGATAATTGGCCAATATGTCACGAGGAACATGATGGCTTTTAATTCCTTAGACAGCACCCCCACAATAAAGTGTGGGTTCATCGCTGGTAGCTGCTAAAAGTGGGTTAATGAATGAAGGCTGACGAGAGGAGAAAAAAAAAACAAAAAAGCACTGCCCGGACTAAGCAGTGCTCAAAGTTTACAAATATCCCAGAATACTGGCAGTACGCCTGGACTTTCAAGGTTAAGGTTTTCAGCACAGAAACCTGAACTACTGATAAAGCTCCCTAACAAAGCTCTCCGATAGCAGAGAGATATTCGTTCTAAAAGCTAAAAAGCAGCTAATGACCACATCCTCCACCAAAAACTGTCATGGAGTTAACTAGATCAATCTATGCCCGTGACAGGGGGCAGTAGGCCCCTGAGTCCCCCCCCCCCCCTCGGCCCCACAAAATGGGAAGGAAAGGGAAAAGGGATAGGGAGATGGGAGCTGGGCTCAAGGAAGGAAAAAAATAACGAGCGGCAACAATCTATGAAGGAAAACATATTTTACTAACTATGACATCAGAATGCAAGATAACACAATATAGTACAATCTAATTGAAATTGAGACCAAATAAAATAGGAGAGAGAGTTCCCAAGACCGAGCGAAACCTGAAAAGCTTGGAACAGCTAGGAAAGCACCCTCCAACACCCACTGCAAGGCAGTAAAAGACTGCCTCACCCGGAAGGTCCAGATCCTATGACTTCTGCAACGTACAGGGATAGGTACCCACAATTGGAGCATTAACACTTGAACTCCCAGTGCACTACATGATGTTATGATGTGGAATACCGAAAACTAAAAATCAGAAAACCATGGCAACTTCATGCATGGAGGTTGTGTATGGATAGACAAGAAATTTGGGGCGTAAGTGAATTTGAGAGAAAAGTCTATGGCTTGAGTCCTATCGTAAATAAGAGGTATGCAAGGTGAGTAGTTACTGAATAGGGAAAACACTAATTCCTAGTAGTGGACATAGCTTCTCCTTTATGGTTTTTGCAGCTTCTGTAAAAGATCTTCCTTTTGTGTAATTGTAGAATTCCTTTTCTTATTTTGGAAGGTTAAATGCTTTTCACTGTATAAGATTCAGAATCTCTTAGCAGAGGACAAAAATCAGTTTTGTGTTGAATCACTGCTGAATATATATGGACGGCTTTTTATACAGTGTTTTAACTACCTGAACTGATTTAGTTAAATCATACTGTCAACGGTTTACAGGCTGGTTCGGCCCAGTTCCGTGACTAGGGTGGTGGAGGGATTTCGCAGAATCCGCGCCTCTGGAAAAGGGAAACAGGGGACCCCAAAATAATTTAAAACAGTGGCAACGATCTGAGGAGGAACAAACTAATTTAGTAAATATGGTATCGGAATGCAAGATAACACACTATAATACAAAATAACTAGAATTGAAGCTATTAAATGAAATATAAAGAGAGAGTGTCCGAAAGGTGGATAGGCCTCACCGTAAAGCTGATGTGAGATGCATGGTCCGGTTGAGCAGCAGGGAGGAGAACCTGACAAAGAAGAGCCCATCAGGTGTCCTTTCCAGGGGTTATATCTCCTCTCTGACCACAGAGCCCCTTGGGGTATGTAGTTCTTCTTCTCTTCCAGACAGGTGCCTGAAACTTGAGCATTAACACTTTAACTCCAAGTGCACTGCATGATGTTATGATGTGGAATACTGATAACCAAAAATCATAAAACCATGACACGTACTTTGTCTCATAAACCTCAAATAGAAAACATGAAACCTGTGTGTTCACATTTTGATGATGCCCTTCCTTTACTTTTCAAAAAAAAATTTTTTTAAAGATATGTACATATACTTTTAATTTTTTTTTCCCTCATTTACCTATGAGTTGGCTAATGATTTGATGACAATTAGTGGTTGCAGTCCACTCCTAAAGTCTTTTGGGTTTTTAGTCACACTTTTTGTAACATCATCTTTTAAAATTTCTAGCTATTACTTCTTATAAATGTGCAAAGGAAAGTTCTATTTACTTGGTCTTTTAATAGTCTAAAATTACAAATTGAATCTTTACTGTGGCTATTAGCATAAAGGGACTTGTCCCATCCCACTCAGTAAGTTGCAAGAAAGGTGAATCTTTGGAACTCCATCAAACAGGCAACTCTCTAGCTGTTTGAGTCAACAAATTCCTCATCCGTCTCAGACAAGCCTAATTTTTGAAAATTTGAATCTCCATTTTTAATGGCAGCTGGAATTTTATCTTTCCATGTATTCAGTACAAGTTTGAGTGTTAGAAACATAAAGTGTAGTCTTATTTTAATTCTGTAATTTTCTGTCACTTGATATATGTCCTCTTTATTTCTCCATCTGAAAATCCAAAGATTAAAATATTAATTAAAAACTTTAAGGTTAATGGCCATTTCAGTGATTGACTCTTGTGACATTACTACTGTTATGAAAGTTAATTTTCAAAATACATATGCCAAAGCTATGCTTGGAATATGTGCCTAATGTTAAAGAATTTGTTTCTTTGAATCTGTTGTGAAACTCAATTGTATTTTTCCATAGCATTCATAGATGAGACTGTGAACATGTTTCTAAAGATACGTGAGGTGCTTTTTTATTTTATTGATAGACACTGAAGTTAAACATGTATACATGTCCAACACTCCCTGACCAGGTTCTTTTAGATGTTCCATACGTAAAGGATTATCGTTTAAGGCCAGATGTTATTGTTCAATCCCACTAGGCAGCTAAATACCACACAGTAGCTTGCTCACTTTCCCCCTGCTTCCCCAGCTGGATTGGAAGTGTGAGAAATGGAAAAGCCCTTAATTCAGTGTAAGTGCTGCTTAGCATCAGCTAAAACACTGCTGTGTTATCAGCACTATTTTCATACAAATCCAAAATACAACAGTACACTAACTACTAGGAAGAAAATTAATTATATCCCAACAAAATCAGAACTCAAAGTTTACTTTTTTGAAATTATTTGACATTACACAGTGTTTCAGGGTATGTTTGGATCCAAGATACAGAATGTCTCAGGAGCAGAGACAAGCAAACTGCGCGCTCAGACCAGCACAGGACCAGCATGAGTTTTATTCAACATACACACACTCATACACACAGGTATCCATTTTAGATTATCCCAGTAAGCGTCAAGCAGAAGCTCCCTAAGCAAGCACGCTATTACTTACTGACTCCTGAGAGATGGACAAAGTGCTGAGAAGGAGAGGAAAAAGGAACATGCCAGCAGTGGATTTGATGGGTAGTGCCAGCAGGGTGTCCCCTGCTTCAAAGTGCACTTTTCCTCTCTCCCCCACCACAGCCTCTCTCCTGCTTTTATTCACCCCAGAGTCTATAGGGTTTTTTCCACTTGCACACTGTACCCGTGGCCAATGCATGATACAGAGCCCAAGTGGAACACCTGCTTGCAAAACAAGTTATTGCAAAACAAGGTAAACTACCAAGGTCAGCTCTCTCTGCAAAACAATTTCCCTTAAAACTGTCAGAATACTTTGTTGCATCCCAGGATCGTTCTTCATACAGAGGCCTTTAGGTCCTCTCTCAATCCAATTATTGGAGAAGATGGCTTGACATATATATATATCCAGAGGAAGATTAAGGCAACAAAAGAAGCCAAATGCTGTCCAATTATTTATTACAAATTCTAAGCTACTAAGGAATGTGGGGAAGATGGGGAAGTTAGCAAAAGTAAAGAGAAAAATCCCAGCGAATGGTTTACAAAGCAGGGATAGTCACCACCAGGGATCCAGCGACATCTTGTTGGTCCATAGGGAGGCAGCAAGTCAGCCAGCGACGTTTTGCACAGCTGCAGTTCGGCGGAGGGAGTACCTGTTCTTCTTCAGAACTCTTCAAGTTTTTATCTTCTCAATACTGTCCTTTTGGTCACCAGAGGCAGCAGCTCATTGTCAGGGGCACTTCTGTCAGGGGCAATGATAGTTGCCAGGGGTACTTCTGTTTTGTTAGTCAGGGGCAACAGTAGTTGCAACAGCATGTCCATAGTACATGCCTTTCCCATTGGGAAATCAGCAGTTGATCATGCAATTGTCATATGGTGGGCTGCTAGGTACGCGCACTAACTGCATGGTAATCCTCTCCTCCGAGACAATGCCCATAAATCAGCTTAAGTGCCCAAAAAGAAGCAGCAGCCGAAAAGGTTTCTCCTGGTCACCCAGCCCCGTATGTTTCTCTTAGCACCATGCTCATGGTAACCATTAACCCCAAAAGCTTGTTGAGCAGGTTAAGTCTCAGATGGGTGCTGCTGAACAAGCTTTGAGCCAAAAAATTGTTCCAGCTTCTTACAGGCCCCTAACACACAAAGGACTTTAATTTAGCAGAATGAAACAGCAATTTACTTCAATAACAGTACAAGTACAAATTATGCTTTGCTAAATATAGCAGTTGCAGTCATAATACAAATGTGATTCTCATTGTTGGTCTCTATCATGGCACTGTCTCCAATTGCTAGGAGGGAATACATGGGTTTAAACTGACTGAAGTCTGTTAGTGTCTTCAAAGTTCTTTCTGTTCAGCATACAGTTTTTATGCTGTTTGCTTTATACTGAGTTTTTATACTTGGTTTGGCTGAGCCACAAATAAACACAAACATTCTGGTTTGGCTAACTCAGGAAGACATGCATTTGCCTATATTTATTTATCTTAATTAACCTGGGGAAAGTTACATGGCCAATTGATTCCCTCAACTATTGTAGCCATTTATCTAGAACAAAGACCCATCCCTTTTGTGTTAAGCTCTACTTTTTATAGCAATTGTGGTCAGTCACTCCTTACTTCACTTAGGCAAGGACTATGTACTCACGAAGCTATCCCCTCAGTGTTCTTCCATTCTAGGAGTTCATTGATCAATTTCAACATGAAATGTTTAAATTTTTTACATTTTGACTTCAAAAGAAGAATTTTTCTCTAAGATACCTTTTTGGCATTGTACATAAACAGATTTTGTTTTTCAGTTATTCCATCTTTTATATTGTAGGTCATGCAAGAGTCTCTGCCAGCATGATGAAGAAAAGAACTTCCCACAAGTAAGTTGCTAATATTTTTACTTAAGTATAGTTCTCAATAACTGAAATTACAATTTTACAAATCTCTTATCTGAATTGTTCTGGTCACTTTGCTCTTGTAAACTATGAAAACTATGTGGAGTAGTATTCAGCTAGTGTATGTGTGTAGAGTCAGACTTTAATTCTTTTGGGAGGGTGGTAGGAAAGAATGCACCATTGATGGAGTTCTAAATATCCTTCTGAATGTTACTCTGAGAGAAATTATCCTGTGAATACAATTATGTAATTTACTCTACAGTTCAGAGACAAGATTGCAAGCTGGAAGTTGAGCACGTACTCTAGGATTCATTACAGCTTTATTTTTTGAAAAGGATTTTTCACTTTTTTTTTTTTATGAAGAACAAACTGAAGCACTTCTTATATAAGGCTGTTATTTGAATGTGAAGGATGCTTGCTCATCTTAGACATTCATGGCACATATTTTCGCTACTACGTTTTGAAATAGTAGCAGCTAAACATTGATGAGTAAATAGAAGATCGAGGCAATAGCTTGGACATTTTTGAACTTCATGTCTAACAGCTAAATGCTGCATGTCTAGTGGGAAAACTCTAAAAAATAAGCTGGGGAAAGATGAAGCATTAAGATGCTACTAGTTATATTTTAAGTATGAATTCCTATAGTGGTGGTAGACAACATGCATCAATCCAAAACAATTTGTCTGGCAGGAATATCTTCTATGATTAACATATAGGAATTAGTATTAACTGCTTCCCAGACATAACACCTGATGTAAAATTAATTCCTTGCACCAACTCTTCACTATTCATTCTTTTCGATCTCCTTACAAGGCAAAGATAAACATGTATTTGTTTAGAGACAGGTAGACTTGGTTAAAACTTAATTTCTCTTGTTCTTTTTCAACCGCTCAGAGAAAGGAGTGTATGATGGGAAGACTATCAGAGGTGGGTTGTTTTTTGTACTTGAGGGTGGCTAGATTTGTCTTTATTGTTCTGATGATATACACTTATTCAAATAGCTAAATAGGTTGTATATTTGTTAGCATAAAGGCTTTTATGGGGCATGTTAAGCTGTGATCTGAAGTCACATGATTTTGAGACATTTAAGCACTCAACTGAGTTTTATGTTAATTTAGCCTAGTCTAATTGTTTTAGAATTGTTCGGTTAAGGTTTTATTTTGTAGCAAACCAAGATGACATACTGTGTGCTGCTCACTGACTTCTCTGAGAATGAGAGACTACTATAGTTCTTTATATTTGGTATTCAATGCTTACATTTTTGAAATGAACAAGTAATAGTAAGTAGTGCTGTTGACATATTTATAGTAAATGAGTAGAATATGAATGAATATATAAAAATGTATGCCAATGCTACTCTGAGTTGTTACAACCAATCATGAATTAGTAATGCATACATTGTCATTGATTTAGTTATGATGACTTACATATTCCTCACTTAAAGGAAAAAGAGGAACAAGTCTAATGACGCTTGAAGACCGTAGGGGAGATTCTAAACCAGGTTCAGAAAGTTCACGGGGGAGGGAGGAGCTAACTGGATGGAATAGGGAAACTGAAGAAGTGATAAAATGAGCTGTGTGTATTAATTTTCAGAACTCTTCTTAACTAAAATGCTAGTTAATCATTGACCCTTTTGGAAGGTGTTCCCATGGTTATAGGTAAGCTTCAATAGGGCTGTTCTTTTGAGTGTTCTGTCAGTGTCAATGGATAGTGATGAATGTGAAGCTGTCCTGGATTCAGCTGGGACAGAGTTAATTTTCTTCACAGTGTATGGCATGATGCTATGTTTTGGCTTTAGGAGAAAAACAATGTTGATGACACACTGACTTTTTAATTATTGCCAAGGACACTGCAACTTTTAAGCTTTTTGTATTGTCCTGCCAGTGAATGAGCTGGGATTGCACAAGAAGCTGAGAGGTCAGAGAACCAGGACAGCTGACCTAAAGTGGCCAAAGGGATATTCCATGCCATATGACATCATGAGAAAAACTATAAAACTGACAGGAGGTGGCTGAGGGTCAGCTGCTGCTCGAGGACTGGCTAGGCATGGGTCAATGGTTAGTGAGCAATTGCATTGTGTGCTTGTGTGCTTGTTTTGTAAGTATGTATATATATTATTATTATAATTATTCTCTTCCTTTTCTATCTTAGCAAATAGTTTTAATCGCAGTTTTCCTTTTTTTTTTTTTCTTTTTTTCTGATTCTCTATCCCACTGGGAGGGTGGGAGTGAGCAAAAAACTATGTAGTACTTAGCTGCCTGCCAGGTTAAACCACAACAATCGTTGTGCTGTCCGATGTGGGGCTCAAAAGACTGAGACAGTGACAAGTCTGACCAGAGCATGTTAAAACAAAATTGTTAGAAGTGATATAGTAACTTAATAGCCACTGGTCACAATGCTGACCTTTTTGTTCACAATGTGGTTTATTTGCTCTCAGAGTTGTTTTTCTTAACTCCTTCTGGGTTGTTTATCATCTCTGGAGGTTTGCCTAAGCTTATTTATGGTTTTGCCAGTTTATATATAGCATGCGCTCATGTTATACCAACCACAAATTTAATTTGGTATTTGTGCTCAGTAACATCATTCTCACACTTCATAAACCTTACGGTAGAAGCTCTTAACAAGTACAGTCTTTACTCCAGGCAATTAAAAATAGTTTTTGAACATTTTGAATATACCTGGGATGTTCAAACTAGCATGATCCTACTGCTATGCCTTCTGCATGTGTTTCCAGTTTTATTTATGTTTAAGAAACTATTCAAAAATGCCACCTAGAGATATACCCTGAGACAGGATAGTTGTGGGTGGCAAGGTATGTGGGAAGATATTGGCAGGTATTTATCACAATTGTCACCTCTGATGGGTTTGGAACTCACCCCTGAACAAGTGCAGAATGTTTTGAAAAGGTATGGTCTGATCCTGGTGATGCCAGAGTTACAGCTTGTTGCACTGTGCTGGAATCTAGCCTGCCCCTATCAAACACTATTCAAGTTTATTCAGCACCCTTGAAAGCAAGAAAATGCCTCTGGATCTGACTCAAACCCTGCAACAGGCCTTCTGGCTGAACCAGAGAACCAACCCATGCCAGTATCCATTGCTTCTGTCCACAAGCAGAAACAATGGACATGAATGTCCACTCATTTAGTAAGGAATGAAGAAGAGGATGAGGAAGGCTACTTCATAGCAGGGCCATCATGAGAACGGGAGGAAGAGGCAGAGATTATACATTTTAAATTAACCATCCAATGTCTATCCCTAGGTGAGGTATGAAATGTGCAGAAAGATTTCAGCCACTGTCCAGATGAGCACATTGTCACCTGGCTGTTCTGATGCTGCAATAATGGCACCTATAGACTGGATTTAGTGGTCATGGAAGCCAGACAACTAGGATCTTCCCTAGGGAACAGGACACTGACAAAGCAATTGCAAAAAAAATGGAAAATCTCTCTCCACCTGGATGTGACTCCTGTTACCCATGAAAGAAAGGTATCCCAACAAGGAAGATATTAGGTCAGCAGGACAAGTGGATCCAGTATATGAGGAAATTAGCTGTGATGGAGGTGGTATATAATGTTGACCTGAACAATGATAAATTTTCCCCAAATTCATATATCATCAAGTGCACACAATCCATGTAGTGGAAGTTCGTACAGAGTACACCATCACTGCATGCCAACTTTTTGGGAGTAATGACTTGGAAAGATGGAGAAGAACAAACAGTGAATGAATTGGATGACCAACACCAACAATACAAAGGAAGTCTCTCTTCCTCCCTACAGGCCTCAATTTCAACTCAGGAGAAAATGTCCTGTGAGTTCCAGCCTATTGTCCAAAGACAATAGGCCTTACTCCTCACTAGTATGGACCAGCATCTCAGCTACTAGAAGTAAGTGTTCTTCTGTTAAAGAGAGAAGACATGGTGGGTATATAACACATGACACCCTGTGGTTTTACCTGCATGACCACAGGGAGGATATGAGGAAATGGAATGGAAAACCCACCTCAACCCTAGAGGAATGAATACATGATATGAACCCTCACAAAAAAGGGTTCTTCCAAGAAAATGACCACTCCAGTTTCCAGTGTGCAGCTCTCTAAACTGAATAGATATTTTGATCTTATTTCTGAGTTTAATAACAAATATTTTGGTTGGCATTCATGAGAAGTGAGTAATGAATATGGTAACCAGGACTAGAAAGGACCTGCCTCCATCCAGGTGAAGAGACAATCAGTTATATTGGACTGTGTGGATTCAATAACATGGCACATCAGGTCAACATCAGTGGACACTAGTGCACAGTGTATCCTAATGCCATCAAGTTATAAAGGGACAGAACCCATCTATATTTCTGGAGTGATGAGAGGATCCCAAAAGCTAACTGTATTGGAGACCAAAGTGAGCCTAACTGGGAATGAGTGGCAAAAGTAATCCATTGTAACTGGCCCAGAGGCTCTGTGCATCCTTGGCAATGCTAAAATTTGAATACGACCTGAAGTCAAAGGCAGCCCAGTGGTATGCCACAATTTCACTTGGACTGACATCTAATCCACCTGGAATTGTCTGCCCCATGGTTGGAAACACAGCCCTACCATTTGTCATGGGCAAATACATTGATGACATCATTGTGTGAGGCAAATTTTTGAGTAAGGGAAGAAAAAAATCCAGATCCTTCTGAAAGTCGGTTTTGCCATAAAACTAAGTAAGGTCAAGGTATCTGCACAGGAGATCCAGTTCTTAGGAATAAAATGGCAAAATGGATGTCGTAAGATCCTTATGGATATGATCAATAAAATAACTGCTATGTCTCCACCAACTAACAAAGAGAAAACACAAGCTTTCTTAGATGTTGAGTGTTTCTGGAGAATGCATATTCTGGATTAAAGTCTGATTGTAAACCCTCTCAAGTGACTGAGCAGATGGGGCAAAAGTGTTCTGAGGAGCAAGCTGGCTGGATTGATTACCAGAGCTTTAAATTCAATGGGGGAAGGAGGTGGAGTTCCTTGTGACAGAGAAGGGCCAGGAAACACTGTCATTTTAGGAAACTGTGGGGAAAAACCTCTCAATTGTCCCATAGGATCTTGTGAGGACTCCTCAGAAAAATAATGTTGCCAATAGCCCAGCTGAAATCTTGCATCCATCTAGAGATACCTGCACCCTCTGTTTCCTTAAAGTGCATCACTTCCTCTGAGCTCAAGGTCTGTTCATCCCTAAGAGAAAGAAACTGAGGAAAGGTGGCAGAAGGCTTGCATAGATGAGCAAGGAACTCATGGATAAACTAAAAGGAAAGTAGAAGGTCCATGAAATGTGGAAAAAGGGCCTATCCACCTGGGAAGAATATAGGAACGTTGTCAGGGTCTGTAGGGATGCAACAAGAAAGGCTAAGGCCCTCTTGAAATTAAAGCTTGCAAATGAGGTAAAGGATAACAAAAAAGGATTTTTATGTATGTCAATAGTAAAAGGAAGACTGGGGAAAATGTGGGTTCCCTACTAAATGAGGTGGGTTCCCTGGTAACAGGGAGCGCTGAGAAGGTGGAGATTCTGAATGCCTTCTTTGCTTCACTCTTTAACGCTAAGACTAGCTCTCAGGAGTCCCTGACCCTGGAGGTAAGAGAGAGTCTGGGGAACATATGACTTCCTATTGATCAAGGAGGATCTGATCATAGAATCATAGAATTGCTCAGGTTGGAAAAGACCTTAAAGATCATCAAGTCCAACCGCAACCTAACCATATTATCCTAACTCTAACAACCCTCCACTAAATCATGTCCCTGAGCACCACATCCAAGTGGTTTTTGAACACATTCAGGGATGGTGACTCAACAACCTCCCTGGGGAGCCTATTCCAGTGCTTAACCACCCTTTCTGTCAAGATTTTCCTGATATCCAACCTAAAACTCAGAGAGCATCTAGCCAAAATCAGTGCACACAAATCCATGGGCCCTTACAGGATGCACCCACAGGTCCTGAGGGAGCTGGCAGAAATGACTGCCAAACCACTATCAACCAGTCTTCAAAAAGGGAAAGATGCAGGACCCGGGAAACTACAGGCCAGGCAGCCTCACCTCTGTCTCCGGGAAGGTGATGAAACAACTTACTCTGGATACCCACTCCAAACAATTGGAAGAGAAGGTTGTCAGGATTAGTCAATATGGATTCACCAAGGGGAAATCAAGATGGACCAATCTGGTAGCCAGTGGCATCACTGGCTGGGTATGACGTGCGGAATCAAACTCTGTAACCCAAGTAAGATTACAAAGCAGGTACGGTTTATTCAGTGCTGCGCGGACACCAGGTGCAAGGGGGATAGATCCACCTAACTTGCACACCGTCTAGAAAAATCGTGCTACAGATATAGGCCAAGCTAATACATAATCAATAGTTTTCCCGGAATTCGGATGAATATTCATTACACCCCCAAGAGTTCGTTAGCATGCAGACCCTCCCCACTTGCGTGTGCGTAGTGGGTCGTGGGATGAAGATTTGTTGTTTTCCTCGTGAAGGCTTCTGACCTTTCTTGTTGTAAACTCCTGGCCTTTCGGGGGGGCGTCCCCCCCAACCCAGTTTCTTCTTGCCCTGTGGACATCTAATCACCTCCCTGCCAAATGTCCTCGGGCTGTTCTCAAACCCTTATCTTTATGGCCTTCATCCCCCTCACTATCCCAGACACAGTGTCTGCCATCCCTTATTTTCTAACAAGCTCTACATTCTTGCTTCTATAAACTATCTCTAACTATTCCCCTTCACCCCCCCTTATTCTCGGTCACTGTGAAGCCTTCTTGACTTTTTACTTTCACATATGGGGCCCATCTCACCTTTCAGGTAGATGTGGAGAGAGCAGTGGATGTTGTGCAACCTGACTTCAGCAAGGCATTTGACACCATCTCCCACAATGTTCTTGTTATGAAACTTAGAAAGTGTGGGGTAGATGAGTGGACGGTGAGATGGACTGAGAACTGGATGAATGGCAGAGCTCAGAGGGTTGTCATCAGTGATGCAGAGTCTGGTTGGAGGCATGTAATGAGCCGTGTTTCCCAGGTGTAGGTGCTGGATCTGGTCTTGTTCAACATCTTCATCAGTTAACTGGATGAAGGGATGAAGTACACTCTCGGCTGATACACCAGAAGGCTGTGCTACCGTTCAACAAGACCTGAACAGACTGGAGAGTTGGGCAGTAAGAAACCAGATGAGGTTTAACAAAAGCAGAAAGCAGACAGAAGTCATAAATTAGATAGTAACCATCCAATCCCTATCCGTGTCTGAGTTGCTAGATTTGCAAAAAATACTTTATCCATCATCCAGGTGATCATACTGTTATCTGGCTGCTCTGATGCTGGGATAACAGGGCCACTAGCCAGGAATTAGAAAAGAAGGAAGTCAAGCAGCTGGAATCCCTCGCTTAGGGAGAGGGTCATTGACATAACAATTGGAAAAGGGGCACAAGTCCTCATCCTCTGTTAGGTGTGAAGGAAATGTGGAAAGTGTAGAGTCTTGCACCTGAGGAGGAATAACCACATGCATCAGTACAGGTTAGGAGATGACCTGCTGGAAAGGAGCTCTGTGGAGAAGGACCTGGGGGTCCTGGTGGACAACAGGTTGGCCATGAGCCAGCAGTGTGCTCTTGTGGCCCAGAAGGCCAATGGTATCCTGGGGTGCATTAAAAAGAGCATGGCCAGCAGGTCGAGGGGGGTGATCCTCCCCCTTTACTCTGCCCTGGTGAGGCCACATTTAGACTACTGTGTCCAGTTCTGGACACCCCAGTTCAAAAAAGACAGGGATATCCTGGAAGGAGTCCAGCAGTGGGCCACAAAGATGATAAAGGGCCCGGAGCATCTCCCTTATGAGAAAAGCTGAGAAACCTAAGTCTGTTCAGCCTGGGGAAGAGAAAACTGAGGTAGGATCTGATAAATGTTTATAAAGATCTAAAGGGAGGTGGAAGGCAAATGGATGAGGCCAGGCTCTTCTCAGTTGTGTGTAGTGATAGGATAAGAAACAATTACCTAAAACTTGTACATAGGAAGTTCTGCACTAACATGCAGAAGAACTTATTTATGGTGAGGGTGATGGAGCACTGGAACAGGTTGCCCAGAGAAGTTGTGGAGTCTCCTTTTATGGAGATATTCCAGACCTGTCTGGACATCTGTGTGATCTGTTGTAGGTAACCTACTTTAGCAGGGTGGTTGGACTTGAGGATCTCTTGAGGTTCTTTCCAAACCTTGCGATTCTGTGACCAAGAAGAAGAATGATTTCACATGGATTCCTGTGCAAGAGATTCAATTCTTAGGAATAAAATGGTAGGATAGATGTCATCAGATCCCCATGGATGTGATCAACAAAATAACTACTATGTCTCTACCACCTAACAAAGAGGAAACACAATCTTTCCTAGGTGTTGTGTGTTTCTGGTGAATGTGTATTCCAAATTATAGTCTGATTGTAAACCCACTCTATCAAATGACCCAGAAGAAGAACTATTTCACATGGGGCCCTCAGCAACAACAAGCCTTTGAACAAATTAAACAGAAGATATTTCATGCAGTAGCCCTTGGGCCAGTCTGGACAGGGCAAGATGTAAAAAACATGCTCTACATTGCAGCTGGGGAAAACGGTCCCACTTGGAGCCTCTGGCAGAAAGCCTCAGGGGAGACTTGAGTTCAATCCCTAGAGTTTTGGATTCAAGGATACAGGTGATCTGATGCCCACTACACTCTGGCTGAAAAAGAGATATTGGCAGCATATAATGGGAGTTGAGCTGCTTGAAAAATGGTTGATACAGAAGCACAACTCCTTTTGGAACCCCAACTGCCTGTGTTGAGCTGGACGTTCAAAGAGAGGGTCCCCTCTACACATCATGCATCTGATGCTACGTGGAGTAAGTGGATCACACTGGTCATACAACATGCTCAAGTAGGAAACCCCAGTCCCCAAGGAATCTTGCAAGTGATCATGTACTGGCCCAAAGGCAACAATTTTGGAATATTGCCAGAGAAGGTGATGCATGCTGAAGAGGCCCCACTGAATAATAAAGTACCAGAGTAAGAGGCAATATGCCTTGTTTACTGATGGGTCTTGTCATATTGTGGGAAAGCATCGGAGATGGAAGGCTGCTGTATGGAGACCTACAAGAGAAGTTGCAGAAATTGCTGAAGGAGAAGGTGAATTGAGCCTATTTGCAGAAGCAAAGGCCATCCAGCTGGGTTTAGATATTTGTAAGAGATTATTCTTTTACATCATTGTCTCAAAGCTTTCTGGGGACATAGGTGAACAAGTCCAAGCAAGTCTTGGGCAAGGGTTGAGAAATCCTTTGTCTGGAGAACTGTGATGGTCAAGTCCTGGGCAAGAGTTGTGAAATCCTTTGTCTGAGGGACACAGATGGACAAGGCCATGGGCAACGTGAGAGAGATAAGCTGAAGCTTAATGGCCGCGAAGTGGTCTTTTGTGTGGGCTTATCTCAAGGAAGATGACCATCTCAGGGGGTACTCACATGACTCTTGCTCAAGCGCCCAGGGATGTCACGTAGGCAGGAGAAAAAGTAGGATAAAAGAGGAATCGAAAACCATGAGGTTTAGGTTTTCTGGCAACAGATTCCTTATGAAGAAGAGGTTTCTGCCACGAGAAGCCTCACGACCTGCCTCTCTCCCTCCTGGACTTGCTCTGCGCTCTACCACGATGCTGAAGAAGAACAAAGGTGTCTGCCATCAGATTCCTCACTACGGAATTCCTG